GGTGTTATGTATAATGTATATAGTGGTGTTATGTATAATGTATATAGTGGTGTTATGTATAATGTATATAGTGGTGTTATGTATAATGTATATAGTGGTGTTATGTATAATGTATATAGTGGTGTTATATATAATGTATATAGTGGTGGTTATGTATATGTATATAGTGGTGTTATGTATAATGTATATAGTGGTGTTATGTATAATGTATATAGTGGTGTTATGTATATAGTGGTGTTATGTATAATGTATATAGTGGTGTTATGTATAATGTATATAGTGGAGTTATGTATATAGTGGTGTTTATGTATATAGTGGTGTTATGTATAATGTATATAGTGGTGTTATGTATGAATAGTGGTGTTATGTATAATGTATATAGTGGTGTTATGTATAATGTATATAGTGGGTGTTATGTATATAGTGGTGTTATGTATATAGTGGTGTTATGTATAATGTATATAGTGGTGGTATGTATAATGTATATAGTGGAGTTAATGTATATAGTGGTGTATGTATATAGTGGTGTTATGTGATATAGTGGAGTTATTGTATAATGTATATAGTGGTGTTATGTATAATGTATATAGTGGTGTTCTGTATAATGTATATAGTGGTTTTGTGTTTAATGTATATAGTGGAGTTATGTATATAGTGGTGTTATGTATATAGTGGAGTTATGTATATAGTGGTGTTATGTATATTGTGGGTGTTATGTATAATGTTTTAGTGGTTTTGTGTATAATGTATATAGTGGTGTTATGTTAATAGTGGAGTTATGTTTTATGTATATAGTGATGTTATGTTTAATGTATATAGTGGTGTTATGTATAATGTATATAGTGGTTTTGTGTATAATGTATATAGTGGTGTTATGTATTTAGTGGAGTTATGTTTAATGTTTATATTTGGTGTTAGTTTAATTTTATATAGGGGGGTTGTTTAAGTTATAGTGGTGTTTGGTATAAGGGATATAGTGGTGTTATGTATAATGTATATAGTGGTGTTATGTATAATGTATATAGTGGTGTTATGTATAATGTATATAGTGGTGTTATGTATAATGTATATAGTGGTGTTATGTATAATGTTATAGTGGTGTTATGTATAATGTATAATAGTGGTGTATATATAATGTATATAGTGGTGTTATGTATAATGTATATAGTGGTGTTATGTATAATGTATATAGTGGTGTTATGTATAATGTAGATAGTGGTGTTATGTATATAGTGGTGTTATGTATAATGTATATAGTGGTGTTATGTATAATGTATATAGTGGAGTTATGTATATAGTGGTGTTATGTATATATAGTGGTGTTATGTATAAGTGGTTTATATGTGTTATGTAGTATAGTGGTGTTATGTATAATGTTATTGTGGTGTTATGTATAATGTATATAGTGGTGTTATGTATTTAGTGGTGTTATGTATATAGGGTTTTAGTAAAAGGTATATAGTGGGGGTATTTTAGGTTTATAGGGGGGTTTGGTATTTTAGTGGTGTTTTGTAGTTAGGGTGTTATTAAAATGGAGTTATGTTTTAAGGGTATTAGTGGTGTTGGTATAAAGTTTTTTAGGGGGGGTTAGGGTAAAATTGTATTTTGGGGTTTTTGTTTTTTTTGGGAATAGGGGAGTTTGGGATAAGTGGTGTTTTGTAAAGTGGATTTATGATTTAGGGGTGTTATATATGTGGTGTGGTTTATGAAAGGGGGGGTTTTTTGGGGGTAAAAGGGTTTTTTGGGGGGGAGGTTATGTGGGGGTTTGGATGGGGGGTTTGGGGGTGTTTGTATAATTTTTTAAAGTGGTTTTGGGTAATTGTAAAGTGGTTTTGTTTTTAAAATGATATTGGGGGTTTTGTTTATAAATGGGGGGTTTGTTTTAAGGTATATGGGGGGGTTTTGAAATTTTGGTATATAGTGGGTTAGGGTTAAATGTAAAAGTGGGGTTATTTTAAGGGTTTTTGGGGGGGTTTTGAAGAATGTATTTGGGGGGGTTTGTAAAATTTTATTTAGGGGGTTATGTTTTGTTAGGGGGTTATGTAAAATTTTAAATAGTGGTGTTAGGGTTTTTGGTTTAATATGTGGTGTTAGGGGAAAATGTATAAGGGTGTTTGTATTTATTGGTTTTTTGTATAATGTATATAGTGGTTTTATTTTAAGGGATAGTGGGTTTTTTGAAATTTTGGGGTGTTAGGGAATAGGGGTGTTTTATATGGGTGGTTTTGGGTTTTAATGATAGGGGTGGGTAGGTAGGAAATTATGGGTTTTAGGGTTAATGTATATGGGTTTTAAAGTAAAATTTATTAGTGGGTTTAGGGTTAAGGGGGGGTTAGTTTAATTTTTTATAGGGGGTTTTTTTGGGGATTTTTGGTAATGGGGGGTTTTGTTTTAAGGGGTGTTTTGAAATTAATGTTTATAGGGGTTTTTGGGTTTTTAAATGTATTTAGTGGTTTTATGTATTTAGTGGGTTTGTAAAAAGGGTATAAGTGGGGGTTTTGTTTAATGTATATGTGGTGGGGGGTTATTAAAGGGATTTAGTGGGGGGATTTTAAAATGATTTAGGGGGTTATGTAAAAGGTTTTATGGGGTTTTTTTAATGTTTATAGGGGTGTTATGTATATAGGGAGTTATTTTAAATGTAATAGTGGTGTTATGTATAATTTTTATTTAGGGGTGTTATGTAAAATTTTATTAGGGTGCCCATTTTTTAAGGGTATTTTGGGGGGGTTATGGTATAATGTATTTAGGGGTGTTTTTTTTTTGGTATTTAGGGGGGTTTTGGTAAAAATGTTTATGTGGTGTTTTGTAAATGTTATTTAGGGGGGGTTATGGATAATGTATTTTGGTGGGGTCATTTTTAAATGTATATAGTGGTGTTATGTAAATGTTTTTTGTGGTTTTAAATGTTTTTTGTTTTAGGGGGTGTTATGTATAAGGTTTATAGTGGTTTTTTTAAAGGTATATAGTGGTTTTTAGGGTAAAGGTTTAGGGGTTTTTTTATTGAAATAATGGGGGTTTGGTTATGAAATGAATTATAGTGGGGTTTTGATAATGTATATAGTGGGGGTTATTTTAAAAAGTATTGTGGGTGTTTTTAATGTATAAGTGGTGTTTGGTAAATGAAAATTAGTGGGTTATGTTTTTTGTTTAAGTGGAGTTAGGGAAAATTGAAATATGTGGGGTTATGAAAATTTAGTGGAGTTAGGTTTTTAAATAGGGGGTGTTATGAAATATTGGGGGGGAATGTATAATTTTTTTTAGGGTGTTATTTTTAAAGGGTTTTTAGGGGGTTATGTTATTGTATTTTGGGGTGTTAGGTAAAGGGGGGTTTTATGTTTTAATGATTTTGTGGTTTTATGTATATTGTAATGGGTGTTATTTTTTGTATAAGTGGTGTTTTGTAAAATTTGTATATTTTTTGGTTATGTTAATGTTTTTTGTGGTGTTATGTATATAGGGGTGTTATGTATATTGGGGGAAAATGTTTTAAGGGGTTTTTTATTTAATGTATTTAGGGGTGTTATGTTAATGTAATGGGTTTTAAGTAAAGGGATTAGGGGTGTTATGTATAATTTAATAGGGGTGGTTATGTATAATTTATAAATTTGGTTGTTATGTATAATGTTATTTTGGGGTTTTAAATGTTAAAATGAAATATTGGGAGGTAAATAAGGTATATGTGGTGTTTTTGTAAAATGTATTAGTGGTTTTATGTATAATTTTATTTTGTGGTGTTTTAAAATAGGGGAAATTTTTAATGTTTTATAAAAGGGGGGTGTTATGTATATAGTGGGGTTATTTAAATTTTAAAATAGTGGTGTTTTTTTAAATGTATATGTGGTTTATGTAAATTGTTTATATTTGGTTTTTTGTAAAGGTATATAGTGGGGGTTTATGTTTAAGGGATTTGGGGTGTTATGTTTTATGGTTTTTAGTAAAATGTATTTTGTGGTTTGGGGGTTAATGTATATAGTGGTGTTTTGTAAAAAGAAATTGGGTGGTGTTAGGTATAATGTATTGTGGGGGGTTTGAAAATGAAATATAGGGGGGGTTATGTTTTAGTGGTGTTAGGTTTTAGTGGTGTTATGTATAAGGTAAATGTGGTGTTAGTATAATGTATATAGTGGTTATGTTAATGTAATAGGGGGGTTATGTAAATGTATTTTGTGGGGTTATGTATAAGGTATTAGTGGGTTATGAAATAATTTTTAAAAGGTGGTTTTATGTATAATGTTTTTAAGTGGGGTTATGTAAAATGTTATAGGGGTTTTTAGGGAAAAGGGTTTTAGTGGTTTATGTAAAGGTATAAGTGGTGTTTGGTAAAATGTAAAACTTATACATAACACCCCTATATACTTTAACACCACTAAAATACATATCCTCGATGGGTTTTGGCCCCCTTTTACTGAAAAAGTTTTTGGGGTTTGCCACCAACGTTTTTCTCTTGGTACAAGGGTTTTATGTTAAGGAAATATAGGGTGTTATGTATTTTTGTTTTGGTAAAAAGTTTTTATTTTTAAGAGGGGTGTTATTTTTTAGTGGTGTTTTTAAAAGTATATAGTGGTATTTTGGAAGGGGTTTTAATAATTTTTTTAAAATGGGTTTTATAAAAAAATTAGTGGTGTTTTTTGTTTTAAAAGGGATATGTTGGGGGGATGTATTTTGTATATGGGGGTTTTTTTTTTGGGTGGGTGTTATGTTTTAATTTTTTTTGTGGGTTTTTTTTTTTTTTTGGGGGTTATTTTATTAATTTTTAAAATTAGTGGTGTTTTGTTTTTAGGGGTGTTTTGTAAAAATGAAAATTTTGGGGGTTATTAAAATTGTAATATTTGGTGTTTATTTTTTAAGTATATAGTGGTGTTATGTATAAGGGGTTTTTGGGGGCAAAAAACTTTGGGTTAAGGGAAAACTTTTTAAATCAAGTTTAAGCTGATGGATGATGTGTTTTATCTTTTATATCCTAGATTTTTGTGATGACCAAGAAATATTTATAATACCTTTTCTTGTTTCTCAAGCTCAGACTCTTTCTTCTTCCATTCTGAAAACTGTTAAAATTACAGTTACTTCCGTCCACAAAACTTTATAGAAATAATAACTAACGTAACCAATTTCAACATCAATATAACACCAAAAATAGCTGGAGGTACAAATATTGAAACACTAGTGATAGAAATAAATCTCTTGACATAGCTAAACCTCGCTTCATTGCTTACCTGTTTCTCAAGCTTCTCTATATCAGCCTCTACTTTCTTTTTCTCAGATTCATCGTCGGATGCCTTAAGTTTGTTTTTCAAATCATTCAGTTGTCTTTGACTCCTGGAGATAATAAAAGGTGTAAAAAATGCAGGGAATCTTAGTGATGTACGAGCTTCTTGCGCCAGATTATAATATCCTCGAAAATGTTCCGCATCTTACTTAATATTCTATTTGATTCCTTAATCAAACCAATCCTGCTTTATGGCTGTCAAGTCTTATGCCCCCACTCTAAAACAATGAGATACCTTTCAAAAATAGATGACAAAGCCAGCCCCCAGCATACCTTGAAGTACATTGCAGAAGACCACTATGAGAAATTCCACCTAAAATTTATCAAGTGGTCTTTGTCCGTCCATTCAAAAGCATCAAATATAGGTTGCTGGGGCGAAAGTGGGCGCCACCCCCTATTCTTTGAAGCCTGCAAACTTGCAATAGATTACTATAGTCGCCTTGAAAGCACCGAAAATGAACTACTTTGTGCTGCATTTCACGAGCAGATCATGCTGGGCCTTCCTTGGTATACCAACATCTCAAAGCTTCTCACCAAATACAACATCCCCCACTCATCTTCATCAAAATCTAAGCTCTCCACCCAAATCAGTCATAATATGAGGGAAGAATTCGTGAATATCTGGAAATCTGCCAAGGCCTCCTCACCAAAACTAGAATTCTATAACTTAATTAAACATGATTTTGAACCAGAGGCATACCTACGAATAATCAAAGTACCTGATTTTCGAAAAAGCTTGACAAGGTTTCGTATCAGCTGCCACAACCTCTACGTTGAAAGGGGCAGATACGAAACCCCTCTTGTACCAAGAGAAGAACGTTGGTGCACTTACTGCTTTTTCAGTAAAGGGCTCAAACCTATCGAGGACGAAAGCCATGTATTAATTGACTGTTTGCTTTACTCCTCAGTTAGGGAAAAATTCAACTTTTATCCCCAAAACATCACTGACCTAGCCGGTCTGCTCTCCAACAAAAATCTAGATCCTACCAAATTTACTGCCACAGCAAGAGCAATCCATTCAATTCTCTCTGTGAACGAACAATATACAGCCTATTATAAGAGCCCAGATTTCCACTCAAATACTGGCAAGTGCATAGGGGGGGGGGGGGGGGTCCAAGGGGAACTTTGGGGAGTTTTGGGGAACTTTTTTTTGGGGAACTTCAGGAAACCTGGGGGACTTTCCCAAAGTTCCCCAAAAAATTATCAATGAAACAAATAATTTTGGGGAATTTTGGGGAATTTTGGGGAACTTTTTTGGGGAACTTCAGAAAGTTCCCCAAAATTCCCCAAAGTTCCCCAAAGTTCCCCAAAAAATTATCATGCCAAAAAAATTATCATGCTGCAAGTATCAACAAGTAAGTTAAGATTATACCTTATAATAACATACATGTTAACATTAATGGGTATTAATGTATATTAGAGAAATTTTGAATAATTTTGAATAATTTTGAATAATTTTGGGGAATTTTGGGGAACTTTGGGGAGTTTTGGGGAACTTTTTTTTGGGGAACTTCTGAAATCTTGGGGGACTTTCCCAAAGTTCCCCAAAGTTCCCCTTGGACCCCCCCCCCCCCCCCCCCCCCCCTGCATAATGCTCTAGGAACTCAAAATAAACTCATGAACCATACAAATTTGATTTACTTAAAGAAAATAGCATTATATTATAACATTTCTATTTTATCCCTACACATTTGTAAATGATTAGAAGTGTGTAACTTAAATTATTTCAGAATTATAACTATTGTGAACTCAATAAAATAATTATCACTTTTGTATCCTTGTATCCTTGTATCCTTGTATCCTTGTATCCTTGTATCCTATAAAGCGAGACGATATATATATATGTATCCGTGCCATTTTACTGACACCACGGCATCAACTTTAACGCGACTTTCCGCAAAAACCGTAAAAGATATACAACTTAAACTTTTTTGACTGGTTCAAATGCTTTTATGCTTTTCAAATCAGCATGAAAAAATAAAAAATTGGCCATGAAATAAGAATTTTAGTGCCCAAAATTTGGATCCCCAAGTGGTGTCAAAAACGCGATTTAAATAGGTAATAATTATTTTAGTCTCTTGAGTCTTGACACCACTTAAGGGGGCCGGGGGGGGGGGGGGGGGGTCTTCATCAAAATTCTCTCGAAATTGACTTTATAGTTGTTTCTGGTAGAAGGCCAAGGGAGTGATATCTACCAGCTGCTTTTGGTCCCATGGAAAAATATTGTTCCTAGCCGAAATTATCGCCGGTCTAAGGTCAGCGCTTGCGCTTCTGTGTAATTGTATTGCGCGAGCGATTTTCAATCGCAAATTGACATGTTCTAGGGACCATTTAGAAGAGATCGTTCATGCCAAAATTTTGAGATAGGCCTTTAATAATTTTTTTATTAAATTTTGAAAATCTTGGACCTGAAAAAATCGTAAAAAAACGAGGTAGGAGAAGATAGATATTTAGACTCGATTTTCAGAATTTGCGATTGAAAATCGCTCGCGCAATACAATTACACATAAGCGCTGACCTTAGACCGGCGATAATTTCGGCTAGGAACAATATTTTTCCATGGGACCAAAAGCAGCTGGTAGATATCACTCCCTTCTACCAGAAACAACTATAAACTCAATTTCGAGAGAATTTTGATGAAGACCCCCCCCCCCCCCCCGGCCCCCTTAAGGCTTATATTACGGGTTCCTGCTAGTATATATATAATGGGTATATATACAGGGTGGGCCAAAAGTCAGTACCCATACGTTGGCCTTAATAGCTCCGCCGTGTTTTATATTTGAGAGCTGTTGCTTTGCAGATTGCATACTGTACTTACTGGTTCGAGGATTCCGTCGTCAAAATTTGAAAATTCGAATATTTTAGACCACGCCCATTCAATATTAAAACACCTATATTGTTTTCTCTGAACATGCTGAACGCCTAATTTTTTCAGAGACGGTAGATTATCAAATGTTACATATGATCTGAAAACATGAGGCAAAACGGATTAGAAATGACGAAGTTATCAAGCATTTTCTGTATCTCGTTAACAAAATTGACTGGGTGATTATGTGACACCGTGACACGACACCTTAATTGGGCACTCTTAACAATTCCCATAATGTTTAACGGGGTAGTTAACGGGGTCACCTTATCACGTGATTAGGTAATCCAATCACCTGATCACACGTAATGAATAAACTCGTTATGCTTCATATCTCGGTCATCTGAGAAGCTACAGTTTTAATTCTTTCAGGACAAACGTAATTCGAATGGCCAAACACAATTTAATAACATTAAGCTTGATCCAACTATCCAAACTATCAAATAAATGTGAAAATGAACCTCCATTTGAAAAAAATGAACGCGAATATTTTTCGAGTTGACAAATTCCTCGAACCAGTGGTGGTACTAAGTCATATCAGATGGAAGTATTTAAATTGGGCACTCAGTGACTGAGCTATAAAGGCCAACGTATGGGTACTGACTTTTGGCCCACCCTGTATATATAGGGGGACAATGTTAAAATCAGGTATTACTGGATTAACAGTGGCCGGGAGTCGGTATTTAAATAAAAAACAACTGTCTATAATATACATTATACATTATACATTATACAGTGTACAGCCCGAAACTCACTTGTCCAAACTTTCTTTGGTTTCAGACTTGTTCTTCTCAAATTCTCCCATCCTGTCTACTCTGGCCTGATGTCTCCACCGGAACAGAGAGGGGGTGTCGATGTTGGGGTGAGTGTCGTCCTCATCATCTGAGATCTGATCAATTGTACGGACACTTGTTAGTGAGACCAACTTTTAACAATAATAACTTGGTATTATTAGGTAAACTTTACCAACTAATGATAACCCAAACTAAGCAAGCTAAGGGCGAGAATTTGTAAAAAAATGTTATAATTATCAGTAAACTTTTAAATTGAAGGAGCAGAATATATTTACCTCGATGTCTTTCCATTTGCTGTAGTCAATTGGCATGACACAGTAAGATCAAAACAACGCTAAAGAAGAGATTGTGTTATAATTTAGGACAAAAGCGCTCTAACGCTATAACACAACTGCAAAGCTAAGGGAGCAGACTAGTTTTGTACGTAAGTTAAATATTTGATAAGGTCATAGGGATGAATTACATCATTGGAAAATTTTCAACAATTTTAGATGAAAGATTATTTCAAGATAAAATGCCAAAAGCAAAAGTGACAGTCATGACAGTGAATATGAATCTTATTAATTTAAATGCTTAAAAAGAGTAAAACATAACCAGTAGCCCAATAATTTAAATAAAAAGTTGGAAATATTTCAAATTGCATCTGAACGCATAATTTCCCGTAAAAGCATAGTAGCATAACAAGATTTTGGTAGCGTAAACCGCAACAGTAATGCAGTTTTACTTCCCTCGTTCTTGGCTTCAAAACTCTTACCCAAAACCGAATCTAGGTTAGTGGAAACTAACTTCTCGTTTTCATCACTGTACTTTATGATGTCAGCATCAAACTCGGAAGGTTTGAATAAAACATTTCTATAGCAACCACTAACATTAAACTCCTTTCCCAACGGGCCTTTAAAATCATCTATAGACATGCCATCCTGTTCCAGAATCTCAGAGAGATAATCCTTACAACAGTTATCAGGAACCTGGATATCGTAACCAGGCATGGGGAGCACGATATCAGATAGATGACTTGACGGCACCTGCTCGGGGGTAAGTCTTCTAACCCCTCCGTGGGAGTCATCATTATAGACAAGGTCTCCCTCCAGCACTGCAGTACCATGAGTGCTGATCCGGCGGGATACCATCATGTTCCAAACATAACTCTGGTAAGCGTGGGTGTACAGAGTTTGCTGTTTGTAGTGTAGAGACTTCAGGGCTTTTTTGTAGTCGTTAGGTTCTTTTGCCAGCGATGATAGGATAAGTCCTTCTGTGGAGTTTTTGTAACCGAGCATGTTGAAGGCAGTCTCAGCATTTTCAGATTTTATGTAGTGGTTGAGGGCGTCTCTTACGTCCATTTTGGTGTTATCGTTTGGTGTAAGAATCCGTTCAATTGCACTTTGGTAGTCTTTTTTCAGGATATGTTTACCGACTTCGTGTGTATCTCCGTTGTTTCCAAATCTCTGCAACCCAAAATAGTTTATAAAACCATTTTCTAAAAGTAAATGTTTCACTTTATCTAGATTTTCCTGGGTTGTTTCTTCGCATTCTCTTAAAACAATCGAAAACTTGTTTCCAGACAGATCCCCTAACTTCAGGGTATCTTTACTGAACTCAAAATCTCCCATGATATAGCTACTCTTGTAAACCACCGAGTCAGCGGATTCTTCATTAGCCGCAAAAAACGATTTGTTAATACCGAGCAGTCTTTTGGGATCTAGAAACCTGCAGCACATTCTTTGAGCGGTGATGCCCCTCTTATCTTTCATTCCAGCATAGCTTAAATTCCTATGCTTCATGTTCATTGTTTTACAGAGCCTGAGAACCGCATCACTCGTCGTGATGTTCCATTTTAAAAGTGTAAAGTGAAGATACTGATTATTTTTACCAGGCCTCTTGTCTCTGGTGCCAAAGAAATTGTTGCTTTTTATTGTTACTTTAACGACAGAGTCATTGAAGTTAGTGGCATCTTTAGTTGTTTCTGTTGACAAAGAATCGTTGAAGTTACCGATAGACTTATGCAAAGAAGTTCTTTCCGCTTTATCAACAGGAGCTGGGATAGTAAAAAATGGAATTTCTTTGGACAGAACTTTGTTCAGCCCGGCAACGGTCTCCTCAGATAAATCCACCACCTGAACATCCTTGTTACGTTCATCTATAGGTAAATCTGGGATATCAAACGATTTTAGCAGACACTCAGCACCGTTTTTGCAAATCTCTGTTACCATGAAGTCTTCCATTCGAGATTTGAACTCTCCAGTGATCGGAGAAAACCCATGGTTGATGAACTCATTGAGTCCGACACGCTCAGCCTTGGCGTCTGTTTTAGATCGCTTGTTCAGCTGTGACTGAGGATCTGTGTCATCGTGTTCACGTTTCATACCTACTGAATGTAAATGTTACGGTAAATTTAGCTATAGCATAGGTTAAAGGCTATTTCTACTACGATAAGAAGTTTAAATTTAAGTGCGAAGGCTGGTAAATGATAAAGCTCAATTTGGTGTGAGAATAAAACTGAAGCCACGTATATTTGAAATAAACATTAAAAACAAATAACAATAGGAATGGACTATGCTTCGATTCAAATTTAATTACTAAAGGCAACATTTTGTATTGTTATGTATGTCTATCGTCTATAAATATCATGATAATTAAGTCCAAAATCATTCAGCTTAGCCCATTCCGGATAACAAATTTTAAGACAATTTATAAAACCTAAAAACTGCAATTTAGAAATGCTATCTATATATTTGTTTCCATAGAAACAATTCTTTTCTTGGTTAAATTAGCATGGACAAGCTCTTTAAGAGTAAACATCAATGTTTAGTGTAATATACAGACCGTCAGTAAAGTTTATGTATCCACAGAAACGATTTGAATCATGCTTTGGGTGCAAAAGTTGGTCGCAATTCGCTAACCGATTTCTTAAAACTACAAAACATGTAAAGATGTAATCGATCAAGCATTTCACAATACACGAATCTTTACATCTTTGCTGTTATGTTCTCATTCCATTGATTACAACGGGGAACCGTACAAAAATCGATCAAGAAAACTTCACCCACAACATTTCACCCACAACATTTCACCCACAACATTTCACTCGGAACTGCGGTCAAACTGAACAGAGCTCCTGGAAACTGTAATCTACATGCTACTGACTTTGTGATAGAGGTTTTGAGGGGATGTGGTGTGATTTGTAAACTAATAATGTCTCTGTCGGGGCATGCCTATTGGCAGGATTACGTCTTTGAAGTACGGACTTCTCAAGGCTTGTTCACAGGGCACGCGTTTCTCGGGGTTATATGTCAGCATTTTCTGAGAAGATACAGGGTTTCAGTAATATCTGTAAAGTTATACATTCAGATTTGATGATATTTTCAATGAGGAGCTGTAACATGTTACATTCTCACAAGGTTTATAAACATTCATAAACAGTATAAATATTGTACCCGAAGCAAGTCTTGTCCATCCAGTTCAATAGTTTCTCCAACAACGTTAACGATGTCCTGGCGAGGCCACTTTGGGAATTTATCTTTGTAATCGGGAAGGTGAGAGAATCCGGGCCACACGTTATCGTCTGGTGTTCCTAAAGTCCTGGAAAATAAATTCCATAGTATCATACCAGAAGATTTCGCTTATAGTTATAATAAGTTAAATTTACGAAATATTTCAAAACATTTGATTGCAGGCAGCGCGAGCGACCAATCAACCTCATAATGATAAAGTAGAGAAAAACTTGATCCTTTTTTATCTAACCCAGACTGAAGTTAACCCTAGTCCCTAACCTATGGACAAACTACAAAGGCCACAAGGAGCTATCTAGAAAATTCAGAAATTTTCTAGATAGCTCGGTAGGGAAGTTAAAATCAAATTCATGTCCTAAAATTCGTGCGTGCTCCACACGAATTTCAGCGAAACGAAACACTCAATACAACCATCGCGCGTGCGCTTTGGTAGTGGCAAAAATTTTACGAAATTTGAAATCATAATTTACCTGAAAATCCTGAAAAGCTGGTCGATCTCGGAATCTCCTTGAAACAGTGACCTCCCAGTAATCATCTCAGCAAGAATGCAGCCAATACTCCAAACATCGACCCAAGTAGCGTAGTTATGACAACCCAATAAAATCTCCGGAGCCCTATACCACAGTGTTACTACCTCATGCGTGTAAGTTCGAACTGGTATACTGATTGAGCGGGCTAAACCAAAGTCTGCTAACTTCAGTGCTCCCTAAGATGTCAAGCAGGATTTCAGTGTTGAGTGTACTAAAAAATATACATGAATTGCCGGAATTATCAGTGACGTGTCCCAAACTTGGCTAAAATAAATGAAAATTTCTAGGTAACTACTTCGGGCACCCGGCCTATGGAGATATACGGGCTTACTGACACGCATAGTGGTTCCGTTTTTCATATAGATCCGTGCCAAAAGGAGACTTCTCAAGTTACCTGAGAGTTGATGAGGAGGTTCTGAGGTTTGAGGTCTCTGTGAAGGATCCTCTTCTCGTGACAGAACTTTACCCCGGATATCAGCTGGTACAAGAAACTCTGAAATTGAGATATAATCAGGAGAGTTGATTGAACATTTTGTGTGAAAAATGGCGGCTCGGGATGAATGTAATGAAAATTTTCCTTTTCCCAGGCTAATAATAAATAAGAATTATTCAATTAAAACCAATAATTTGAATGAATACAACTTATTATTTCTTCTTTAGAGATATGGATATAATCGAGAAAGCTCCCACCTTTATGACATGATGAGCCATAGGCTGGCCGTTGTGGGAATCAATATACTTCTTCAGATCCTGATCTAGGTACTCAAATACTAAGTGCAACTTTTTATCACCATTGTTGTGCAGAACGTCGATCAACCTGGAAATTATATTATTTATGATCGTGTAAGTTATGATAATATATTAGGTAGAAAAAGGAAGATAAAATTTCCCAGGTTTTATTTTGACAACTCTAAATTGTTCGCCAGTCATGACCGAAAAAACGCTTCTTATCTTAGGATAATTTACTCCGAATATTTTTAGTTCTGGCTAAACAGCTAGAACTGGGATTAAGTCTAAGACAAATTTCTTGGCTAAAAATCGCCGGTCAGGATGTAAAACTAACTTGACAATATTATAATCCTCGGATAGTTCCTTCAAGAAAGATATCTCCCTAATTGCCGTACTGGGGACCCCCTCACAGTCACTGTCCAGTCTGATCCGTTTCAGTGCTACAATCTGGTTGGTTCTGATACTCCGTGCTTTGTAAACTACACCGTATGTGCCCTCTCCTATCTTTTCTAGCCGTTCGTACTCGTCTATATTCACCATTGCTAGGTATGACGTTTGGTTACTGTTGACTGTTATCATAGGTTTGAAAGATTACAAATTTACAGTAATAGCATGTCATTTTAAAAACCTTATTGTAAGTTGCACACTAGGCTATACTTAGGTACTGTTCTATTATAACATGATGCTGTTATAATGTGAAGCATGCAAACGCAGACTCAAACTTCGAAAACTTTTGTAATGATAAAACTTTACCTATTCACTACAATACAAAATAGCAAGTTTATCGGAATAAAGTTGTTATTTAAAATCTAAATAAGTACCAAATAGCTCATAAGAACAGCCTGATTATGACAGACTAGTTCAAACTGAAATTCTAATAAAAATCAAGTAATTTGATAGAATTACAGTTACTTCATTAGGTTTATTTGGTAAATAAAACTCGTTCAACAAGCAAATCCTTCATAATAACTAAACCCCTCATTTAACACTCCGTTTATAAAATATCAAGCTAAATATTTATTATTTATTATGTCATTCTTAAACTAACAAACTTCCAACGATCATCTCAAACCAAACACAAATTGAGACCCCAACTCAAGCTCTGACGTTACACGGTGACCCTATATTCAAATCCAATCACCTGCTCACTTCAAAACCACGTGAAAAACAAGTCACGTGATCTAGAAAAGCAGGTCATGTGATATAATGTAGGTTTCAACCTGTTCGCAAGTGTTTGTTAGAAGGCCCCGGGTTATCTTCGTTGTTATCAACCTCGTTAACATCTCGCTTCTTACCGGAGCTGCCTCCAGGTGTACCCTGACGATAGGTTTAGGGAGGTTGTTAAACAAATCAACTGCTGGTTTTACAGCATAGAAGATCACGTGTTATCTCAGAGCTACCTTTTTATCAGATCAATCGAACAGCAATATTTGCTGGTTCCGTGCCCCTGCATGCATAGTGAATCACAAAAACTCACAAATTTAGGATCAATAATAACCTTTACATAATGCCACCGTTTGCTGTAGTATTTGACCAAGAGGTTTCTTTTATCCGAGACAATAACTTGAGGTTGTGGGTCTGACTCTTTGTTAACGGAGATATACTGGATTGGACGTTTGTTCTGAAATTAAACCCCAGATCACAACTAATTAATTAAAATAAGCAGCTGATTATATTTGTGATACCTAGATATGCATAGAAATAATAAGTTGAGCATTAACATTAATTAATTAATTAACAGAGTTAACCGAAATATTAGTAATACGGAACAAAAATTCCGACAAGCGTGCTTCACAAAAGATAGTAAAGGTTGTAAAATCCACTAACCAAAGGTTTGGCTCTGTCGTAGAGGGCAAAATTTGTTTTGTTCTGCGAGGGTAGGTCCAGGAGACACGCCTCCTGAATATAATATTAATATATTAATTTTAAATATTTTACATTTTTAGAATATCATTAATAATTTTGCTAAGCGACGAATTGTAGAGTTTTAGATTTTGATGGAGACTGTTTGACAACAAGTTGGCTGTAAAACTAACATTTTTTCCTTGACTTGACTGAGAACTGGATTTTTCTGAGGACATCGTTCTATTTTTCAGTTTAACATCACCTTATGATAACAGATAAAGTGTTAGGGTATTATCAATAAGATTTACTTCAAACATTAACTCAGGAAAAGCACATCATAATATTGTGAGTATCTTTTTAAATTATTTGCACTATTTTTTAGCAGTCTCAAAAGACATGATAGTGTTGTACACCGATCAATTACCTAAGTTTAAATTAGTAATAATATTTCAAACGGCAAAACTCTGAAATCAACATTAAATTATTGTAACGTAGCATGAAACTTGTTAAACATGAGATACAATATACAATCATTAACCGAAGTAATCTTCAAGCGTTGTCTGATTAAAATAATCATATTTATCTACTCAAAGAGAAAATCAGAAGAATTAACAATTCGCAAATAATTTAATCGCAAAACTTGATTGAAAAAACTGCGCAGCGCAAAAGCCGATAAGATGGTATTGAAAAATCAATTTCGGCAAATTATGGTATCATATTATTATGTATTGTGGGTAAATAAAACCTGTTCACTTACAATGAAAAAATAGCCCCAATTTCTATTTCTAACGCAATAATAATAAATTATTAAGAAAAGTTGGCAAAACTGTAAAAGGATACAATAACAGCTATCAAATAATATCAAGGGCCCGCCACAAAAACATCAAGAAAAGTGAAAACTCACACATAGCGAAAATAATATCGATAATTAAAATTATACATATCATGCTTGCACCCATACATTAGGTATATACCATCAAAAACTCAAAAAAAAGCAAGCTACATTTCACATCATAAGTTGAAATCTGCACCGATCTGAAAAAAACAAAAAACAATAATAATTCCAAAACCAGCAAACACACAGAAAAACAAGACCACGTGACATTACCACGTGATAAGATCTAGAACTGTTCGCCCATGATGAGGACCACCAGACTGCTCCACCCAGTAAAAGGGTGCACACTTTGCCCTTTACCGGTCTGACAGTTATACTGCTCCCATATAAACCCTGTCTTGGAGAACTCTCTGTACATGTTCTCAACAACGTTCCTCCTCAGCTCTGTGTACAACTTCTTACTGATATCTTTGTAAGGACCCTCTACTTTAGCATAGTGGTCCAGTGCTCTGATAGCGAGGAAGTTGATGTTAATCCAGACAGGACCCCGCCAGTAGGGGGCGTCATGTTGGGTGTTGTACTTCAGGTAGTAGGGGTCTGATCTACCCACGGAGCATAGTCCGTAGGGGCTCCAGATGGAGTTATCTGATTTTAGGGTAGAGAGAATGTGGCCCAACTCGGGGGAAGTGGGTTCCAGGATCATCAGTATGAAGGGGAACAGGTTTATGTAGCCCTGTACTTTTACAAACTGTGGTTGGGGAAGTTTCCGGACAACTCGCCGTTTCTCTATGTTTGGTCCGACTCTGGTGTCTTTAAGTCCGACTATCTCGGAGTGGAGTCCATAGTCAGCGAAGTAATCTCCCGTCCAATGAAGCTTCTTTAATAACTCGTTATCCGACAGAATCTCGGCTGTTTCTCTGTACTTATCAACATTAATTCCGAGAAGATCTCCAAGATTAGTAAGAGATCTAGAAGCGAACGCCATCCAGCAGCGCAGATCCACATGGTACTCCTCGTCAGTGGGATGTGTAGCACGAGGGTAGTCATCTAAACCACTGGTCAGAGTTTTAGGGTTAAGTTCTCTGTCGGTAGTTCCATTCCGGCCCCTCCATCGGTAGGTGGTAGGTTCAGGTCCTATCTGGGTGGTATTGTACCAGTTGTACCACAAGGTTAGTCTGTGGAACACTTTCTTTAACGTTGAGTGATGGTCGAGTATTTCAGAGGGCTGCATGGAATTGAACATGGAATCCAGAGCTAGGAACATTGTTGGTGGATTTGCGTAGTCAGCGTTCTGAACTACAAACTCCTTGGGTACCTTCATAAGAGCTTCATTTCCGAGAATCTGTTCTCGTGGTATCCACCCGTCTGCGTTCATGAGGTTCAACCAATGTCCGATAACTTCCAGACTAATAGTGTTGTCCCATTTGCTGATTAAAAGCTGGTGGAATCCCTCGTCCCAGAGGAATCCTCGAGGGAAGAATGATCTAGAAGGAACAGCTGAGTAAAGTGCTGCAGGCCAGTAATACACCGGCTTCTCAACCTCTGATGATTTTACAATAGATTTACCATAAAAATACCCAATACCACCAATAAGATTACTAAAAGTACTCCTAGCAAACGTTACATATTCATCTTTATAACCCTTAGATTTAAGCTGAAACTTATCTTCAAACTTCTGATTAAAGTCATCCATGTAAGTTTTAATAAGAGAATCAAAGTAAGCTCCCTCAAGAGTGACAGTTCTCTCGATATTCAAGTTCTCATACACAATCTCTACTTCAGCTGGTAGCGGAAGTGTAAGCTGCATGATAACAATATTACTGGATTCACTGCACGTCGTAGAGGCAGGATCAAATGCTACTATAATGGGAGTTACCACAGGACCTCGCCCAGTGTAGGGTATAGGTTTTAGCTTGCCCTTAACATAGTCTGTCAGTAGGTGGAGAGGTACGTTATCACCACAGTTGTACGCGTTGTGCATCACCTTCACGTTAGCGTTAACTGTTTTGTACCTCATGTGAAATTTCCCAAGTTCAGCTGTTTCCCCGTAGACAGAGAAACCATTGGGTATCCGAGATATCCTGACTTTGGACTGGTTGTGCTCGATACCAAGATACCAGTACAAGTGAATAGCTTGCGGAGACTCCGCAGCGCCGGTTGCGCGCACTTTCACTCTCGCTGACCAGTCCTGGAGCATGACGTTAGTTTTAGCAAAACTAGTTTCCAGAACGTAACCTTTATCCTGCAGCATCTGGATACCAAATTTGTTGCCATCGTGGTGGGTCCAGGTGAAGGACTTGAGGTCACTCTGCTCGGATGTGTGGCGGAAGTCGTGGTTAAGAACGTACTCGGGGTTGTACACTGGCATCCACATTAGTCCAAATATCACAGATTCTGGTATTCGGGGTCTGATTCCAAAATATACCTGGAGGATTTTAATACTTTAATTCCCAAAAATTTGGGCGACAAAAAATTTGAGCGGGCCTCTCGCCCAAATTTTTTGCAGACCAAATTAATTGCATAAATCTTTTCCGTCTGCTAAATTTTTTGCTAACCAAACTTTTGGCATTTGGCCTGTGGCCCTGAAATCTATAGAAAGATGGCTTTTTCTTCATATCCAAGTGAAATAATATTTGAAATTTTAGTTTTCTAATCTGTCATTCATGGCTTGACCAAGTAAAAAGGCTTATATTTTAAATGAATAGAAATAACTGGAATAGATAACAGCTACTAATAAAACAAATGGCTAGAGGTACGGATAGCTAGAGATTTAAACAAGATCTGCAAATGGATTATCATCCACCGTAAAGTCTGATCTACAAGCATCAGTTATACCCGACTTCTCAAAGCCTTTCCTTATGTCATCTGGCCTCCCTTTTAAATATACAAAAAGTTCGTTGATCCAACGAGCGTGTACTTCACGGATCACTGTCAAGCGGGTAGTCATAATGATAATTGTATGTGAAAGGGGTATGATAAGATATGCTGAGTGTAAGTAGACTAAACTATCTGATTGAGAGACTAAATATCACTATTGTATATCTATCATTTTGTACTGTGCCATCATCACTGTATTTTTTAGTAGTTACTGGCCCACATCCAGAAAGTTTTATATTTCCTCCCAGATGCTTTTTTTTCTTAATTCTGTGGCCCGCTCGCTTCGCTCGCAAGTTTGCCTTTTTTCTGTAGCCCGCACGTTTCACTCGCAAATTTTTAACACGAGCAGGGACGTAGCCAGGATTTTTCTTTGGGGGGCTGTCGGCGAGCGAAGCGAGCCAACGTGTCCAATCCAGCTGCGCAGCGAGTGAAGCGAGCAAGCTGTGGCAGGGGTCTGGGGGCGCAGCCCCCAGCGGGGTCCAGGGGCGGAGCCCCTTGGCGGGGGGTAGGGGGGCACAGCCCCCCGGAAAATTTTTGTGAAATAGGGTGTTTTAGACGACATTTGGCATTAAAGAAATTTGTAGGACAGCAATAAACTGGGATTGAAAAGAATCAAGTACTCACGTAAATTTGGTAACTTCACAACAGCAATCTGCATTCTCCAATCAGAATATTTCACTGTGTTCCAAAACTGACAGGATGTTCCTCTTTGATTTTTATACAATCGAAACATTTTCTTCAAAAATTTCCTCAATTAATTTGTCTTTATTCCAAAAAAATATTTCGAAATTTAGGAGTAACTTCTCAAAAATTTCCTCTTTTCCCCCGTTTTTCCGCCCAAAAAAAAATTTCCTCCAAGGCTGCCTTGCAAGATGGCGTGTTTCTGGATGTGGGGTTACTGGGCAGATCTTAAATTTCATAATGTGAAACAACTCAGACTACCACCTACATGCTTAAAATTTAAAGCAAAATGACTGGAATAATAAGGAATAATAATGAACTAAGGCAAATATCTAACTGAAATTTTAGTGGAAAATCATTCATTTTTCGAAGAATTTGTGCCCAAATTTTCGGTCGCCCAAATGAGTTCAAATTTTCTGCCCAAATTTTTCGGGCTCAAATAAATTGTGCTCAATATAATGGCACACAAATTTTTGGGAACTAAGGTAGTTTTATTAACATTTTATAGACATTTGTGGTGGTTTCATAGAATATTTGTTCATCTAAGTTCAGAAGGCAATATACGATGCTATAAAATTCAAATATTAATAATTCTGAATGTATCTTACCTGTGGACGGTAACTTCCCCAAAGTCTTGTGAGTTGTTCCTCAGTTCCAGTACAACACTCTGGATACACTAAAGGGAGGTACGACTGTGAAGTGAGGTTGTTGGGTTTTATGTAGAGAACGCGCACCAGCGCTATCGTCAGCAGCAGTGCGCACAGTCCTGCAATCCATTTGTTGATCCCACCTGGCTTCTCTTCCTTCTTTTTTGTTTTTGTGGCATGGTTTGTGGTTTTATCCTTTCCAGGACGCCTGCGTACAGACTCTGCAGCCATAACTACCTGTGTAAATGTGTAAAATGACTAGAAGATATCAATCTGGATCCCTGTATTAAGCTCATTACTGATTCAGAGATAGCAATTTGGATTATCACAGTCTGTACGATCACTGATCAGGTTGATTTATTTTGTATTCATTGTTCTTATTAAGAACTTTAGAATGTACAGAGAGACTCCTAACGCAGAGGATCCCAGTAACATGGACGACATCGGACAATATGAGATTGATATTATAAGATAGAAACTAAGCTTCTAAACTCTAAAGCGCTGTGCAGGTTTTAACAAATCATACCATAGAAGAATGGAAGTAGCCAATCATATAAGGTCCTAATCATAAAATAACTCATATCATTAGTAGTAGCTATAATATATTAAATACAATTGCAAACGAAAATGAATACTTGAATATATATTGTCTTATTTAATATTTATATAAATATTAAATAAGACAATCGAATCGATTAGAATAAGTATTAAGTTAGAACTGAAACTATCAACTTAAGATTGCCTTGAAATGTATTGTTAAAACTGCTGGTACTGAATAAAATAAGTACGAAAATGAACTCAAATCAAATGAGGTATTTATATCCCGCGCATATGATTAACCAACAACACAAGGAAGGTGGTTAACCATGTCAGAGCGGCTGACTGAGTGATGTGAGCAAATGTGTAAAATGTGAACAAAAGTATAACTCAAATCTCAATATAAGGCATATCATATCACATATGAAATGAAATGCTAAGACCAAAATCCGACAACCTTAAGTCGATTTTTGAATTAAATTACATTTATAACAAGATATTATATTAATGGAACTTAATAAAATATTGAAATATTGCATAATTAGGTACTTATGCATACTGGCACAAATAATTTTAACTTGTTAATAACTACACGCCGTCACGAGCTCACCCAAAAGAGTGCTAATAAATAGCGAGACTTATATAATATCTATACTTAACAAGCTGCCACAGCTACTTATAATATAAGTTTGACAATATATATAAACACATCGCCAAATCTCTCTACATGGACATGGAAAATATTAAGATATTTTACTATTTAGAATTTAGATATCAAATTTGAGTATACGATACTATTACTGTGACACTGAATAAGATGAAGCTGCACAGTTAAGATCGATATCTCAAAGTTTTAAAACGTTATATTAATTGTTGTTCCCATTTTTGATGAGTATTATCTCAAAAACAGCTGATGTGCGCCAATAAGTACAGTGTAGTGGACATTATATAATTCAGAGAGTGGGGCTTCGTTTACCAACTAGCTTCTCTTTAAAGTGAGGAATACAGCAATCTTTTCCTATTTTTTCTTGATGTGAGGTGTGAACTCGTTCGTGGCTGATCAGTTTTGACTTTCCATCAAAAGTAGAAAAGCAACTTTCAAACTTGAAAGGCTCTTAACCAGTGTGTCCTAGTCTATGTTTGATTGGACTTGACCTTTCAGCAAAAGCAGATCATGTTCAATTTCACACTTGAAAGGCTTTGTGTGTTGCCGGAGTGATGTATTGCCGGAGTGATGATCTTGTTTGTGTGTGATTAGGAATGAGGTTTGAGAAAAAGCAGAGGGGCAAATATCACACTTAAAACGCCTGTCTTCAGTATGTTTACGTTGGTGATTGTTTAGACCTGATATTTGGATGAAAGCAGCAGTGCACACTTTACACTTAAAAGGCTTTTCACCAGTGTGAGTTCGTTGGTGATTCATAAGATTCCCTCTTTGTGAAAAAGCAGCAGGACACAATTCACACTTAAACGGTTTTACACCAATGTGAACGCTTTTATTGTGCCTTGTTAGACTTCCCTTGGTTGAAAAAGCAGCGGGACAACTGTCACACTTATGGGGCTTATCAACAGTATGTTTCACTTTCACAGTGTGTTTAACAAGATGTCTTTGGAGATGCGATTTCCAAGCAAAAGCGGAAGAACAAAATTCGCATTTGAATGGCTTCTCTCCTGTATGAATACGTTTGTGCTGCTCCAGTTCTGATCTTTGGACAGAACGGACTTCACACTTAAAGGGCCGCTTGCGCTCTCCAGTATTATTACGACGTTGGTGTAGTTGGAGGTGATGTTTTCGAGAAAAAGCGGAAGAACAAAATTCGCATTTAAATGGCTTCTCTCCTGTATGGATACGTTGATGCAATGTTAGGTTTGATTTATCAATGGCAGCAAAAGAGCAAATTTTACATTTGTAGGGCTTTTCCACCTTTTCACCTGTGTGAATTCGTTGGTGCCTTAGTTGATTTCCCTTTTGAGTAAAAGCAGAAGAACAAAACTCACATCTGAATGGTCTACTCCTATACGAGTTAATCATTTGAGGCTCTGGTATATAATCACTATCACTATCTGCTATATAATCACTATCAGGCTCTGCATCTGGTATATAATCACTATCACTATCTGGTATATAATCACTATCAGGCTCTGGTATATAATCACTATCAGTACTGTGATCATCATCATTTTCTGCCTGATGTTTTTTACCATCCGGAGGTGGTGATTCAGTGAGGTTTGTAAATGCTCCAAGTGATGGAATTTCCTTGTTTAGGAAAGAATGGCCATTTATATTCTCCATTTGCCTAGTCCTGGAATTTTCGTTCTGGTCTGGTGAGTAAATCATGTTGATATTCGAAGTTAACTGAGAACTATTTTGTCTGGCACACTTCATGTTATAATGTTCTCTGATATGCTGATCAAAGTTATTATCGTCCAAGAAACGTTCCCAACAAATTGGACAAATATTCTCTTTACAATTTTCCATGGGATTTCCTGGATCTGTTTTTAATCCAATCTCATTGTTATCATAAACTTCGCATAGCGGATAAATTGTATGTCGTTCTCTGACGTGTTCAACAAAGGATTTATCACTGTAGAAATGTTCGCTACACTCCGGGCAAACAAATCCCCCATACTTCTCCGTTAATGTCAACTCATTTTGTTCTGTTTTTATTTCCTGTTTTATCATATGAACCGAAGTATCAGATTTATCAATCGTCTTCAGTTCATCACAAAACTGTTCGGGTATGACCTCTTGTGTGAATGTTTGAATTGAATGATTAGATTCAGTCATTATAGACTTCAGTTCATCACAATATTGTTCTGTTATTACCTCTTGTTTGATTATTTGAGTCGTATGATCATTCATTTTAGTCATCAGTTTTAATACCTCTCCACCATCTTACAGCACCTGATGATGGAAATATATTAGTGATTCAAAAATGAAGAATCAGTGACTGCGAATCATTTGCAACCCAATTAACAATAAAACTGAAGATAAGATTACTAGTAAAGAGTTTTAAGTCATTGAGTGGATGATTGTTTCCGCATTCGTTACATACAATATACATTTTAAAGTTCAAAAACGCAATTTCAGAAAAAAGTTAAGACACAATATATTCAACTTAACATATCAATAATGTCGAATACAATATTTTAGATTGTGAATAAAATAAAAGAAGGTTTATGAAATTCAATGCCTATCTTTATATAAATAGTTTAAAATATAAGATGGTATAATACATTAATATGTAACTGCCGGCGCCCGGCTTGACAATAATTTAAAACACGAATGAGCTTGTTGCACATCAAACACTGAGCAACTGTTATATCATGTTCAGCTAGATACACAGTGAACAATACATTCAAAATACCACTTGAGTAAAAAATATAAGAACGATTCGGTTTCCCAATCACCCATTTATAGCAACTTATGTAACGATAAGGTGAACAACAGATTCAATGTTCATTCTTCTTCTATCGAAACTATATGATACGTTTTAATATTTTATAGCTGTACCGTCATAGATCTAACAATTAACATCAATCTGAATCTTTACCCTCAGCTGTTACATCATAGTCAAGGTCTTCATCACTGTTTTTCCTCTTCCTCCCTTTTCTCTTATCTGACTGATCGTCCAAAATCATAAGCAAACCTGTTCCCTTCAACCGGGCTGTCTCTAACTTCTTCAACAAATCCACCTTAACATCACTTGAGTGATCAAAGTCTAACCCATAACTAGCAGCCACACATTGCAGCTCCTCCGTTACCATGCTCTCCATATCAGCTGGTAAATCTTCAGCGTCCACTTTGTGTATGGGAGTTATGTCATGAGTTGTTTTGTGGTCTTCTCCACCCATTGTAATCATTTTTCGCTCCCTGTCTCGGATAACCCTGCCTAATTTAGAAATAAGAACATGTTTGGGTTCGTCTGTCTCCAGATTATACTTTTTACACTCTTTTTTCAGGATATTTTCACTCAGCATCCACAGTTGGCCAACTTGTCTGCCGTTAAATTCCCAAGTTTTGAAAGCCAGTATTTCTTCCTGACTCTCTTGTGCTGTTTTCTTGATGTTTTCCTTTGACTTTCTGTCAGCAATATCTTTCTGGTAAGCTTTTATCTGTTTTTGATCATTGCAATTCGTAAGATGTTCCCTAGCATCGTCTTTGTGCATGCCCTTCTCCAGAAGCCAACCACATTTAGGACAGTTGTCAAGCAGCCTGAGGACGAACAGTTGTTCCTGGACTCTCTCTTCATTGGTCTGGGTACCAACTCTTTTGTCAGCCCGAGCTCCACGTCGTCTCTGCTGAGCACGTGTCTTGGCTAGCTTCTCATTCTCCGCCTTTGCTTCTATTCTTATCTCCTTCTCTCGCCTCTCCGAAACCTTAAACATGTAAAACCCAAACGTTTTGTCGCACCTTTTGTTCCCACAAGTAATCTTCCGGTGGTAATCTTCTGGGTCGTACTCAAATGTTTTCTTACAGTAGGGACAGAGATGGACGGCAGTCATGCAGCCAAACCTGAGGAAGCAACCTCCACAAAGATATTGTTTAACTCCTTGCATGATGAAATTGTAGGCTGCATCCTCTAACCCCAGATTCTTGGTATTCCAATAGTCTTTACATCTAGGACATCGCATTTTAGTAGGAAAGCAACCTCCGTTTCCACGAGTATATCGTTCTGTCTTCTTTCTCTTTTTAGCAGGCTTCCCATCATCTTCCTCCTCCTCCTCAGTTTCTTCAAACTTCTCAGGATTTGCAAGACGTTCAAAGGATTCCAGAACAGCTTGGAATGATTTCTTTGACACGGCTGAATTAGCATTTTTATCAGGATGTACTTTGGAACTGAGTATGAAATAAGATTTTCTCAGTTCTGCTTTACTAGAGGTAGCTTTTACTATTTTCCCGCTCAGGGAAAGAATAAAAGCGAAATCTCCCTCATTAGCATTGATAGCCTCCATCAAATCAACCACACTACTCCCTGAGTTATGAACACCTTCACCACCACCACTACCAGCACCACCTCCAGCACCACCTCCAGCACCATCACCTCCATCTTCCTTCCCACCAGACAGTGAAGTGAAGTGAACAGCAAGTCTCTTTTGAAGTTCGGCCTTGTCTCCTATCGGAGACAGGCCTGCGTCACAAAGTGCTTTACGAACCTCAACAGGTTTCATTGTCTTGACTTTTAGGCCAGTAGTAGTGTTGAGACAGGGAACATTGGCCCAGGAAGCATTACCGTGACAGTTCTCCGTGCAGAGGACTTTAGCTTTAAAGCAAGGACACCCGCTGGCGCAAGGTTTTGAGTCGCATCTACAAGGCTTTGCTGGCATCCTGAGAGCATCCGGTTAGATGTACAGCGAACTTACGTATAATTTGATGTGAAAAGAAATTTGTATTATAACATAAATTTCAGTAGATACGATACGTTTAGCGAATTTGAGAAATACCAGATTATGATATAGATTTTAATCTTAATAATGTGAGTCAAACACGTCATGGTATTTTTGTTAAACTAAATTGACGATAATTAATAAAACAGAAACATTCAAATTGGTACATAAACATCAAAAATATTAAAAGCGAGAAAGAGCAGTCCAGCTACCGTCATTTCAAAGTTACGTATCAAAAATTAGAAACCATGGATAATCTGATAAAATTCAGGTCAAAGTCAAAAGACGTGCAATTACTTTATATTATATCAATTGGCGTCAAAAAGCACACCAAAAATCAATTTTCACTGAAAACCAACAAAAAAAACTTATTTATACACTAATACATCAATAAATCACGACCAAAAATCTTAGGGTTTAATTTTTCTTAATCACTGAAAGGTAAAAACTGCACTCAGTGAACATAAGCACAAACTACCAACAAACTTTTCGTATAACTTTTATGTTTTAAACAAATCCCCCTCCAGGGATACCAATTTGAGATAAATTTGAAAATCTTTAGATGATTATTTACATTCAGTTCAAAAGTTCAGTTGCAGTTCAAGAAAAAGTTTTCACGATCATACAGCGGCCGGTTTAACAGCAGCACTGACTGCCTCCCAGCATTGGGCTCCTTGCTGGCTGTGTTGCAGTTGTAGTTTAGCGTACATTCTCAGGGCATCTTTCAGACTTGAGAACTTGTCTTTCTTCCATCTTTTAATCTGGGTAACAACGGTAAGTTGGGTTGTGATATAACAGATCAAACAGGTTGTGAAATATAGGTATTTAACGTTTTAACGTTTTAACGTTCCAGATCTCTTTAAAGAAAGTAAATGTCAGATTACTAATACTACCGCCCAATTAGAAAAACTCACTGCGGAATGTCAACAAATATCTATAATTTTAAAGGTCCGAAATCTCCAACCTCTTAAAAACAATAACTAAATCAACAATGAAATGTACTACTATAATATACTAGACTATACCTCCAGTTCGGCCTCGCTAACAAACTGCTCCAGGTCATACTGAGCAGGACCCAACGCTTCCTCTGCATCAGACAGCTCCTGGTGCAGCTTACTCCGTCGTGCTTCTTTCTGTTGTGGTGTAGCTTTGAACATGTTGGTCAGGTTACTCTTGCCTGGTTCTACTGCTACTACGTCTTCTCCTGCCTGGTTGTAATATGTGTTGTTATAGATAAACTTTTAGAGCCAAACATAAGATAATTAAATATATATAATACTACTCCACGATAAATATTGGATATTTATTCAACGTTATGATTCATTTAAGACATAAGGTGTATAATAATTTTCTTTTTTAACATGATTTTCTAAACTGCTGAAAGATTTTAATCGGCAATCAAGTTATCAACATGACTACCAAAATCAAACAAATAACGCTTATAATTTATATAGGTTATTTAATTATTCCCACCTCCGGTTTTCCCAACATAAACAGACCAGCTTTCTTAGCTTCGATCGTACTTTCCAGCACCTCGATCTTATACTGGAGTAGCTCGTACTTTCTTATGAAGTCCTTCAGACTGTATGCGTAGTTGGCATATTCTCTCATGTTCTCACAAAACTTTACGTCTTCTTCTAAAAGCAACACGTTCCCAGCTCCCTCCAAACTAGTGGGGAATTTGTGATAAGATTAAGAAATTATTATCAAAATTGTGAATAAATTCAGGTCACGGAAGATGAATTAACAAGATTAAATTCCTCATTCTCCAATTTCCTTAATAATAAAAATCGAAAAATGGAACTGAGTAGCTTGAATCCTTACTTGTCCAAGTGGTGCCCTATCTTCTGAAGGGGAATATTAAGCGACTTCTCTATGGCACTCCAGTCACTGAAGATTAAATGAAATACATAATTATGAATGTACGAAATTAAAATGAGAAAAACCAACTTTTGAATTTGACGCAATGAATTAATTTTGGTGCTAGCACAAACTACGACTTAGATGATTATTATATATAGCAGATATCATTTAAAAGCAACCGTTTAAAATTTTAAAAGGGCAATTAGCTGACCTAAACGTTTTGGCTAAATCCTTGTAAGAATTATATGCAAGCCGTTGTTTTGCAGCTATGTTCTGGGTCACCTTCAGTACCGCATTTATTCGACTCTCAAGCTCCTCCGCATACGTTCTCAGCTCGGAGAACCTCGGGTCACAGTGCTTCAGCTGGTAACTTGCTGCCATTCCTTTAAGGAAGCCTTCGTTCTTTGCTCTGAAATCCGTAGAGTCTGCAACCTAATCGGGACAAAAAGGTGTGATCAATGTCTACAACCTACTATCACAATCAATGTAAATCTATGAAAATAAATAAAACTGTATCTTGGGAAAAATATGTGTTTTCCAAATTCTTAAATTTCAAACCTCTTTCCATTCTTCGCCCTTCATGAGGAAAGCTTTAAAGATGTTATCATCATGAAGTGTTGGATGGGATGCTACTCTGTGTAAGAACTTCTCGAGACCTATTTTACGATGTTCCAGATATTCTCCATCAAACTTATCTACCGTCATCTTCGTCCACAAGCTGGTTGACAACTGAAAGGTTGGGTTGAATCTGGTTATCAAAGTTTAGCATTTAACTTTACCCATAAAATGTAGAATTATCATGAATTGAAATACAAATTGAGCAATATCTTATACCAAAACAATAAAACACGAAAACGTAAAATCGTATATTATTATTATATTATTATTAAGATAACTTAGATAAATGGAAACCTTTTTCTCAGGAAGAGGAGGTATGATGTGGGAGGGGTAGGTATGGAGAAGGTACTGATACAATAGATCAAACTCTGAGTATCTGTGCCACACTCCAGAGGTTCTCAGCCCATATCGTAGAGCATTGTCGAAGTCTTGAACACTGTTATTAAACTTAATCAGAGAAATCATAGATAATGAGGTGCAGATATTTTATTTATCTAGAGAGTTATTATAAACTATTGGAATAATGTTAAACCTGCCAAAATTTAAGAAAAATGGAAAATGTTGAATAGCTTAGACATATTTCCGGGAAAAAGGAAGAGGACGGTAACCCACTCCCAGCAGATACTCAGCAACAGATATTAAGAACACATTCAGTTCTCAACGAGACTTGATCATTATGATGCATGCAATGTTAAGTTTATATTAGAATCTTACTTGGTAACAACTTTGAAGATCACAAATACATCGCCCATGTAATCATTTCCCTTCTTTGCTTTCTCAAAGTCTTCAATGCAAATACTTGCAACAGACAACAAATGTAGTTTCTTCGACATGCCTATGACGAATTTAATTAATTTTCCAATAGCAAACTAAAATTGGAAATTTGATGGAGACAATTTTAAATTATTAAGTGTTTAACTATGCAATTAAAAAAGTTGTTAAACTCTTACCACTCGTTAAACTGTTGACCTTCTTACCAGTTGCTTAGAAGTACTATGAAAATCAAGCAAACACATTGATTACATAAATGTTAACATCTGTATAAATATTGTTTACTGCTCAGTTTTTTGAAGCTAAAATAATTTACGAAATACAATTTACATAGTAAAACATCACAAACACAGTCTCAAGTCCAAATTTGTAAAACATTCAAAAATACTTAAAAACAAAAACACCTAGGATTTTTTGAATATTGCTTTATCTTGAAAAATAAGTAAACCTAAGATATTGGCCAATGAACTTTCTGGTAATGGTTTTAAGTTATGATGGACTAATATGATATGATGCAAAAAGCAGTGGGTTCAGTTGAATTACTCAAATAATTACATCATTGTAACTGATCCATGGCTTTACTGAGCATCTGATTGCACAATTTTGCATAGGGATTAAGTTTCGCGGCCTGACTTGCAGCAAATTTTCCACCAAGAAAACTGGCTCTCTCAAAATCGAGTCTGGCACTCTCTTCATCTTTGTTCAGCATATGTAGCATAGCTCTTTGTGTGTATGCCTGGGGTACAAACCAGAGGTTTTGAAAATAGGCATAACATTTATTGTGAAGATCCCAATTATATGTGAAATTATTATGATCAAAGTTTTGAGAAACAAAGAAATTATCATAAAATGATAATTTGATAATGAGTGGTATGGGCTAGCCCAGGCTATTATAGTAAAAAATAACCTGGACTGCAGTTTTTCCCTTGCTATTACTGAATTGAATAGCTTTGTTGATATCATCAAGTGCCATCTCATTTTCTCCCGCAAGTCGTGACAACTGTTAAAAGATGAATAATTCGATGCATTGTAGTGCATTTAGTCAAAAGATTTCATGGTTCCAGGCAGATTCATCAAGCATGTTTTTAAAACAGCTAAACTCTAGCTAAAATTATATTTAAACAACAATCATTTTTTTGATGATATTAAGTGGAATTATAATCAAGCAAAATGTTTTTGATAATAACCTGAGCTCTGTCATTATACAAGGATGCCATTGTTGGAGCAAGTGCAATCGCGTCGCCAAAAAGTTTCATAGCTTCAGGAAAACTATTCTGTTCAGCCAACTTGATAGCTTCCAATCTCAGTCTATCTGCATTCTTCTCCTAGGGATTGAACCAAAGATATAATATATATATAATATAACATATTATTGATTACTTTATAATTATTTGTAGATTAATTTTAAAGAACATATCAAAATGGTCACGTCCCCTCGTTTTGACAGAGTGCAGTGTGAGATGCGCTCATCTTAGAAAGAAAAGCAAAAATTTGAATGCAAAACATATGTAGTCACAATGTTCTCAAAATCAAATAAAAATTTGAATTCCAAATCCTAGTAAAATATTGCAACATAGACTAGTCCAAGGAGTTTTCAAATCTTGTCTCGCCATTTCACTGTCCTCGACTAGAAACGATGAAGAAAATTTGTAATGCTCTCTTGGACTATTAAACACCCAAAAATATCCACAACAGTCCTCTGCACTGTGGAGTATAATTCATAATTAATTTACAAACCTGATCTGTTTGTGGAACTGGATCACTGTCTGGTATTTTGCTTTCTTCTGTTGAGAGAGGTGCGGAAGGATTAAGAATATGTTGAAGGACACGGTCATCAGACATTACAACTAACAGGACTGTTAATAAAAACACGTATTATAAACTACACACAACAACTAGTCTCTTAGATGCTAAGGATACATACAATTAAATCAAGTAATGCAATTGGCAGAGCACAATCAATTCACGTATTGCAATTAGCAGAGCACAATACACAGGTAACGGAAATGGTCCATTGCTATCAATATTTCTGAACTAATCACATATACACACATAACACATCATTTACTTAATAAAAAAAATAATAAAATAAATACAACATTTAATCATTGTGGCAGGGATTGCTAGAAAAAAAACATATCCAAATGTTATCAGAATATCGGTATCCGTTAGCAAACTCCACAGTTTAATATGTGTGGCATATATGTAAATCCCATCATACCAGTTGATGTCTGCTTTTAGATGACATAGTCAAATGTTGCAAAAAATACAGCTCGACACACGTAACTTGACAGTAAAAGTGGAATATGCAGGAAAAAAATCTGATCCGGCTGATCAGTTTTACCTGGGGACCTCAGGCTATTATATTTATGTTAATAATCATATAGAATTAGAATAGAGATTCGGCGGAATGACAGGCTGAGCGCGGCCCAGTAAGATCAGCTAGGCTGGTAAACCAACAAAATCATGCTATTTGAACATAGAATAGGGTTTGCATTATCGGTCCAAAATTTTTTATCGCCGATAACCGATAATAATTTTTCAATTATCGGCGATAACGATAATTATCGGCGATAAAATTTGGTCAGAACAATCAGCTTATTTTCCATCGATTCAGTGGCTTAATTAATCATACGTTCATGATTTATAACTTCCGTGATTGAGGGTCATGAATTCCCGAGATATCGTACACAAATTGTAAACGCGTAATTTCAAAATAGTCAATTAATTGAAAGTGAAGATCCGATATACTTTACAGTGAACAGTCAGTGACAATAACAATCTTACACAAAGTGGAACTCCACAGCCGCTAAACGGCTATACATTTCGGCTTGAGTTTTCTTTTCGATGTAAGATACTATTAGGGACTGATTTTTTGGTCGCTTGACTTTGGGGGATGCCGAAGATTTATCATTATTAGCAGCTGCGTTTTCTATACCGTGTTTAACTCTCAAGTGGTACCAAAGACTAGTGTAAGACCTTTTGGCTGTTGTGCTGAGAAAAGACTTGTCACATTGCATGCAGGCCACGTTTTCCCCCTCTTTTGTGAAATGTTTCCAGATCTCGTTGGTTGACATATCAAGATTAACTAGTTTTCCAAGACACAACAGAAAACAGATAACAACTGATACGTGTAACGTAATCAATCAACGATTTAAGCAAATGAGCGACCCAGGCAAGTTAATCATCGGCATTTCTCAGGGGAGGGGCGTGGAGTGTGGACTGTGCAGGAGTGTATTGTGTTGTTATGGTGTGTACTGTGTCGGGTTCAAATTATTACCTTATACGGTTGTAACTGAATTGATAGCTTGAAGTGAACAGCTTATCTTTAATAGGGTGGGGCGAAACTACGGGATACTTATTACAGATTTACCGTTTAAACTTTAATTCCGTTGAATTCAAATATGCAACTATCCCATGAAATATGAATACTTTTACATAGTACATACCTTGTTTCACCAATCAACAGTGATAAGATAACATTGCAAATCTTGCTGAGTTAAGTACTTAAGGCCAGAGGGGGGGGTAAAATTCGTTTTTCCAGTTTTCACATATTTGATCAAAGCTGCTGGAGACAAACAAGAAGAAAAAAACCGGACCGAAATCTGACCTTGCGTTTTTGAGATATCGCGCGCCAAATATTGAGGTTTACCTGTAATTACATGTAAAACTTTAACTTAAACTGTAAAAAGTTTAAAAACCTTAACTTGAGAAGACTGGCCACACCCAGAAGCTGAAACTTGGCACAGGTGTTCCTTGGGTTGTTGCCCAAAAACGTTATGTTTTAGAATTTTGATTTTTGCCTTTGTTCTTGAAATATGAGGTTAACTTTACCCCAAATTCGGTTTTTCGCCGAATTTGGGGTAAAGTTAACCTCATATTTCAAAAATGAAGGCATAATTCAAAATTCTAAAACATAACGTTTTTGCGCAACAACCCAAGGAACACCTGTGCCAAGTTTCAGCTTCTGGGTGTGGCCAGTCTTCTCAAGTTAAGGATTTTGGTATGAAAAAAACCGTTTCGAGTAAAACTAGTTTTAGTGTTTTTATTTCACTGCCAAAATATCAAATTGTGCATTATTTTCCGTATTTAGTAGCGTCTCCATACAATTTTTGCTTTAAGGTGAGAAGATGTTCATTGAGATACTTTATGTTGGTAAAATCAATGTCATAAACCAAAATTTGTCTGAAAATGAGGTTAACTATCATGATATCTTGTAGTAGTAGTAAAAATGTGATTGTTAACCTCGCTATAGACCATATTACACTGGCATTGGTTAATCAATACATTGCTATACATGTAATAAAACATTTGCCCAGTGTAACGATAAAGTTTTTGAGGTTAACATGTGATTAGCTGGACCGATATTAAACAAATGAGAGGTTAACCTCATTTTTTAGCCGTTTACGGGTAAACTCTTCTACTTAAACATGGTCAGTCCAAATCACCTTTGTCGCATGATCATATTTGAGGCATTAGAATACAAATAGATACCTCACTGCGATATTGTGGTACATAACAAAAGTAAGAATCGTATGTAAATAATTCTTAAAGTACCAATTGTGATGGTTAACCTCATTTTCAACACTTTCTCGAGATAAAATTAAGTAAATCAGCACTACATCTATTTAGAAATTTGTATGTCGTAATCTTACGATAAAAATAACAACTCTATCATCTAATCTATTTTAGCTATACCTAAATTAAGAGGTTAACCTCACTTATAAACGTTTAGATATCGTTTTTACTGACAATTATAAACCTAGAATTTAGAGTTAACATTTGCTGACCGAAATAACAAAAAATCTTGGAGTGAAATAACATCTTAACCTCAATTTAGTAACCTCAATGTTGTTTAGTTAATTTTGTAAGAATCGGTTAACCTCATTTATCAAAAAAAGTTAAGCAGTTACAAATATGTGAATGGCAGCAAAACTTTTGTCATCAAAAAATGAATTTATTTAAAGAATAATATTTTTGTAATTTTTTTTGAGCATTTACCCCCCCCCCTCTGGCCTTAAATAGCAAATTCAGATGTTTTGATCAGTTTCACACATATCTTATGATCAATCTAGTGAAAATGGGAGGTAAGAATCTGCGAGTTAGCTGTAAAGTCTCGAAAATTCCGAAATTATTTTTGAAAAGAAATTTCTGAAATTATCGGTTTATCGGTCAGAAATTATCGCCGATAACCGATAACGATTTTACTACGAATTATCGCCTATAATTTTATCGCCGATATTATCGATTGCAAACCCTAACATAGAATGGCACTTCACACTCGCACATTTGAGAAACGCCAAGATAACTTACCACAACTTTCACATTGCCCGCACCCCTCACTCAGTCACAGACCAAACCAGTTCATCACTCACTCACCAAATTGCTGACCCAATATCTATTGAAGTGGCGAAAATTTTCTAGACAAATGACATATCGATATTATTGCTGCAGCAGATTCAAATACCAACATTATTATATTCCCAAACGTTTAAGGACATGTTCATTGAAGTTTGAGGATATTGGTAAATTTCTAAAATAGCGTTTTCGACGATAGTGGCTTAATTTTAGCATCTATTAATCTAGCGTGTTCATAAGTTCTGAACATTAGCCACGTGACCCATACTCCCATATGCACTGCTCAGAAATAAAATGTATTGCTTTTAGGCACTATAATGTAAAAAATGTCACATTTTTGTGACATTGTTTACCATAGCTGCCCAATTATCATTCCTTGGTCTGAAATATAGTAGATTAGGTCAATCTAACAATTATGATACAACATTGGTTAAAGGGCAGGGATCGAACGGCTTTAAGGCAATATTTCGTAAACTTTGTCACACTCGGTATACGAGACCTCTTTTCTACTGTGAGGTGTCCTCAAAACCCTTTCAACTCATTATTTGAGGGTTTTTCTGCCAATCATAGCCCTAAAATATGTTGTTTTGAAAAGTTAGCTAATACATGCACTTGGTTATTGGGAAATGATGTAAATTCTGTCACATTATATGGAATTTGAAATTCTGGGTGAGTTTCCGAAATCATTTATATCTGATTTTGGTTTGGAAGGCGGGAAAACTCTATATAAGGACGATACACGGATACAGTTGATTCAAGTATAGGGCAGTTGATGTAAACATCGTCACAAAATGATACGACATCGTAAATAGGTTACATTTTGCGGGGAAAATCTATATAAGGACGATACACGGATACAGTTTATTCAAGTATAGGGCAGTTGTTGTAAACATCGTCACAAAATGATACGACATCGTAAATAGATTACATTTTGCGGGAAAACTCTATATAAGGACGATACACGGATACAGTTGGTTCAAGTATAGGGCAGTTGATGTAAACATCGTCACAAAATGATATGACATCGTAAATAAGTTAAATTTGGAAACAATGATTATAGAATGAAATAGTCTGTGATTAACTTATTACATACATTATAAAATGGGCCGGGGTTTTTATATTTCCTGTATCTCTGTATTAATCATTTCGGACTGTAATTAGGACTGTTCACGCGAAAGAAATTGTATCTAAATTTTACAATGACGTACTCGTATGTGACGAAATTTACATTTTTTGACCCTATTTTGAAGAACCATACCTCGGTTAGAATTCAGGAATTATTGGTTGGTTATTGTTCAGCAAAATAGAACTCAAGTTTAACAATGCTGAGTTTAATTTCACTAAGTTACTGAAATGTGACGAAATTTACTTTTCCTGCCCCAACAGTATAATTTCAATGTGATGAAAAATTGGCATGGGTTTCTATATTTCCTGTATAAATCCATTTTAACTATAATAAGGACTATTGATATGAAAGAAAATCTATCTAAATTT